AAAAAAAGGTAAAAAAAAGACCCAGACGGCAGTCAGCGAATTCGCCATTATTATTATTATTATTATAATTATTATTTATTTTTTGGTATTGAAGGAACCCATAATTAACTGTATTTTTTTTTTTTTATTAAAGTCCATATCCCCATTTTTTTGGTCTCGTGAGGGGAAACTGAAATGTGTGAAAATATGAAAATAGTTGACTCAAGTGATTTGTAAGGACAAAATTCGGCGAAAACTACTTAAAAAGATATAGCGATAGACTTAGCTCGAATGAAACTCTAAATCTAGAGATTTTAATTGAAACTAAATGTAGCATCCTTCTTGACCTCGAATTAGTTATGCAAATAATGCGAGACTTTGATCTGAATTTTCCTATATTCCTAGAAATCTACGTTTAATTTATTGGTGATAGTGTAAAATCTACATTCTCAAAACCTCCTTTTAAACCCTTATTCTTCGACCACCGGAAAAGTTCACCTAACATCGGTGTTATCGCCGGTGAAGATGGAGACAAATGGAAAATGTGAAAGTAGAGAGAGAATTCAGAAAATAATTATAATGATCAATGAACGTTGTGATTGTACCCTTAAAAACGTAACCCTAATCGGGTCGTTGTATTCATTCATATAGGGGATTTCTAAACATTTTTTTGTCTATCTTAGAAGTTAGAACCCTTTAATTGGTTCAAGATTTAATCCTGAATACATAATTGTTGAATAAGTTTTTCAATATATAATTAGGATTTGTATGTGTTGTGTGACTCATCTGTGTCGATAGATCAATTGTGTAGTTATTTCCGTAAGTCTTAGTTACAACAATAACATTTAATACTTTCATATAAAAAAAATTGACAATTCATTTTTTTTTTCTTTTTCTTAGAACTAATAAAAATGACAATTTTTAAAATCTCATTAATTATTAAAATGTTATTAGCCAGTCCCATCGGCTCCCTCCCAATTAATAAATGTGAAAGTTGACCCATCAAGCATATCTTATCCTAACCCAACTTGTGAAATTAAAGCTAATTAATGCATTATAGAAAATTTAAATTCGCCTAACAAACTTCTTCAATTTATAATATATTGTTCGAGCATGTCATGTTATTATTTTTAAACTAAGAAATAAATATGTAAATATATTATATCATTGTATGAAATCCTATTGGATCACCTAACAAATGCCATATGCTTGACTTAGGGGCGTAAATTGGAATGAAATTCTTGAATTCTGCAGATTTTGATCCGAAATTTTTGGATTTGAGAACAAATATCTACTTTCTGATATCCGATCTGATGATTTCCATTTTTTTTTTTGACTGAAATTGTAATTATATATTTTCTTTTGAAAATTCTGATTTCCGATCCAATTTTGTTATCGAAAAGTAATTTGGATTCTTCCCAAAACGTTTTTAAATAATTATTTTAGATTATATAATATTGATTCTCTTTTTTTTTAGGGTGAATTACAACTACTCCTGAGATATGGTCAGATTAAGAAAACCCCTCTCTTGTTTGGTTAATTACAACCACCTACCTCAACTATAAATCTTCTTGCACGTCCACCTTTGCGGTTTCAAATTCAGTGGAATCTTCGAGATTATATGGAATATTATCACCTTTCTACCCGTTTCATCCCATTCGAACTCCACATTGTGAAATAAGATGATCATAAGATGTGTTTTTTGGCTTGCATATATCAGATTATGGTGCATCAGAAACTGTATTTTTTACACAAAACGAGTACAACTAGAACACATTCCACGAAATCTAGATGATTATGTTGAATTTGACACCATAAGGGTGGTGTAAGAAAAAATCATAGTTGAGGGGTAGATGTAATTATCCAAACAAAAGGAGTTTTTTCGTAAATTGACTATACCTCAGGGAGGTGGTTGTAATTTACCCTTTTTGTAATTTGTTTTTTAAGTTAATTTTTTTATTGTTGATCTCTCGAGAAAATACTTTAACTTGGACCTAATTGTGCTTTCCTCATGTGGCTTGTACTATTTAAGCCCACTATTTAACTATTTAACCCAAGTAGACTCGACCCGAACAAAATAACCAAGTAGCCCGGCCCATATCATTTTTTTAAGAGTCGGCCCATATCATTCATTCAGAGTATAATTTCTGCCATGTAAAACATCACCCTTATGCAGTACGAAAACTTCAACTTCATAACGTATCGACATTTAGGACACGTTTCGTATCCGACACTCGGAGACACCTATCGGACACTTTATGGGCCGTTTTGCAATTTTAAAAGAGTTAGAGACACGTTTAAATAGCAAATCTTCAAATCCTTTTCTTTGCTTCCTTATTTAATTACATAAACACTTAATGTTCAACTACAAATTGATAGTTGATTATAGTTTTTATTTTTGAATATATTTGGTATGGAAATATATAAAAAAGAAAATAAAAAAATTATATGCCAATGTACTTTTAAAAGTTCCACATATCCAGTTATCCACATTTTTTAGACATGTCGTTTCTTTGTGTCCGTTTTCGTGTTTCTGCATATTCTCATTTTCGTGTTCGTGCTACATAGCTGGTCATTTAATTACCTTCCCCGAGTATCATACTTGATATTATTTTATATCTTAATTTAAAATTAATAATAGTAATGTGTATATATTACGATTTTAATCTACAATTAAATATCAAAGTTTTCATTTTGTTATACATAATGGAACTACCTTATTAATTAATTATTTTCCCTTTCGAAATGTACTCTCTCAACTCTGTGTGATGATGACAGTCCAACGATCTATTCCCTGATTCCGACCCCATTACCACTCTCTCACTTCATATAAACCTCCATTTTCGTTTTTCGAGCTCGAATTTTTGTAAGAAAATTTCTGGGCTTTGTTCGATTCACCGAGAAAAGGGTTTTTTTTTTCTGAAAAAATGAGGAATCGAAGATGGGTTATTTCTGTGCTTCTTTATTTTGCGTTTTGTTCGACGATTGAAGCTTTCAAATTCCACAAAACCCAACAAACCGAGAGAATCTCCGGTAAGAATATTTTTTTTTTAAATTAAAAAAAAAAAATCTATGCGCATCTGAAATTGTTACGATTTCCTAGTATTTAATGCTCCCATTGTAGAATTGTTTACTTACATTGTGAGAAATTTTTGTTTTCATTCCGTGGGTTCGTTTTGTTAGCTTCAATTGATTTAGGTTAGGTTTTGACTTTGAAGTTGAATTTTGCTTCTGCGGTTTGACTTCGATTTGGGCTTATCTGCAAAAGACATTCAATTTTAGAAAATGGGTTTTGTGTAATTTGTATCAGAAGAAAGTAAATATTTACGAAAATCGGGTGCCGTAAAATGTTATAGGTAGTGCTGGTGATGTGTTGGAAGACGATCCATTCGGGCGGCTGAAAGTCTTCGTTTATGAGCTTCCGAGTAAATACAACAAAAAGATTCTCCAGAAAGATCCGAGATGCCTCAACCACATGTTTGCAGCCGAGATTTTCATGCACAGATTCCTTATGTCGAGCCCTGTTCGAACACTTAACCCCGAAGAAGCTGATTGGTTCTACACACCTGTGTATACTACTTGTGACCTAACGCCAAACGGGCTTCCGTTGCCGTTCAAATCGCCACGTATTATGAGGAGCGCGATACAGCTGATTTCTTCGAACTGGCCTTATTGGAATAGAACCGAAGGTGCCGATCACTTCTTCATTGTGCCTCATGATTTCGGCGCTTGCTTTCACTATCTAGTAAGAATTCTCGTGATTTTATGATAATTGATTATGTGAAGTTTTTTAGGATATGATAGAACTGATTTATGTATGGATGCATGATGTACAATCTTGGGTAGATTATTATTCTTAGGCCTTGTTTGGTTGGTAAGATAATAATTCATGATTAGGGGGTGGAAATTGGAACAGAATTTCGGAATTCCACCGATTCCGATCAGAATATTTCCGATTATGGAACAATACTTTTTCATTACGAATTCCAAAATTCCGATTTCTGATTTTTCCAATGTTTGTTTTTGAATAGAAGTGGAATACATGTTAGATTCCGATTTCCGATCCGGTTTTAATTTTCGAAAATATTCTCTGTAAATTCCGATCCGATTTTTTCTGAAAATCACACTTAAAATATCAGTGCCGCCGATTCCGAGTTGAAAATTTCCTAATTTGGAGCAAGTTTTGCATTCCAATTTCCGAATTTTCCATTTTTTTTAACGGAATTAGAATTACTTTTTCACTTCCGAAAAGAATTTGAATTTTTCTGAAAGCGCTAACTTCGGTCCGATCTTTCAGATTTACACCCTAGTCATTATTAATTAAATGATTAGGTCTTACAATAACTTTTAGGGCAAACCTGCAATTCTGGAAAGATGAGCTTTTATATTGGTTTTATTGTTGGGATTTTGTATTGGACCTCCCCTAGTACAATTATACAATCGGGTTCTCATAAAAATGCACAATATTATCTCGGGAACTGAACGAGGCCTTAATATCGTCTTGTATGAAGTTAAATTCGAATGTACAATATATGTATTGCAGGAAGAGAAAGCAATCGAGAGAGGAATCCTTCGATTGCTCCAACGAGCTACATTGGTTCAAACTTTCGGACAACGTTACCATGTTTGCTTAAAGGGAGGCTCGATTATAATTCCTCCATATGCCCCTCCTCAAAAGATGCAATCACATCTAATTCCTCCGACTACCCCTCGTTCCATTTTTGTCTACTTCCGAGGTTTGTTCTATGATGTTGGAAACGATCCGGAAGGTGGTTATTACGCTAGGTATGTATTTTTGTATCCGTTTCTCAAATTAAAGAATCCCGATTAATCTTTTGCTTGATGCTCATACTAAGTGGGATAAGGATTTATTACAGAGGCGCACGAGCATCGGTCTGGGAGAATTTTAAAGACAACCCTCTATTCGACATCTCAACGGAGCACCCAACAACTTACTACGAAGACATGCAGAGAGCCATTTTCTGCTTATGCCCGCTCGGGTGGGCCCCATGGAGTCCCCGTCTCGTCGAAGCTGTCGTTTTCGGCTGCATTCCCGTAATAATAGCCGATGACATCGTCTTGCCGTTTGCTGATGCAATCCCGTGGGAAGACATTGGTGTATTTGTGGCGGAAAAAGATGTTCCTAAGTTAGATACAATTCTCACATCGATTCCGATCGAAGAAATATTGAGGAAGCAGAGATTGCTTGCTAACCCTTCGATGAAACAGGCTATGCTTTTTCCGCAGCCAAGTCAGCCTTGGGATGCGTTCCATCAGATTCTGAACGGGCTTGCGCGGAAGCTGCCGCATGGTAACGGCGTGTTCTTGCGTGCGGGGGAGAAGATCTTGAACTGGACTGCGGGCCCCGTTGGTGACCTTAAACCTTGGTAATTAATTAGGTTAATTGTTTTGTAAATTGCTCTTACGGTGAAAATTCAGGGTTGTTTGTAATTAGATGATGGGATAATGTGATCCAGCAATATTGGATTTTTCTTCACCATTGGCAATGCACTCTTTGAGCTTAGGATTTATGGAAATGGCAATTTGATTTTGTTTTAAATCAAATTGAGTATATGATGAGTGTTTATCGGACACGGTGAAACTCCATTTTCCACGGGAACATGAGGGAAATGTGTAAATATTAAAAATATAGAGATATATTCATAATTTCTAAAAGATATTATATTGTTATTTATATATTTATCGTCAATTACATATTTGCATAAACAAGTTATATGTAAGGCAAATTACTACCATCCTATGAGATAATGTCAAATTGCGAAAATCCCCCTCATGTTTGCATAATTACAAGCACCCCACAACTATGTATTGTCTTACGAAAAAAACCCTTCAGTTGATAAATTTAAGGGTGTTCATTCGGAAAAATTGAATAGAAATTTTGGCACGCCAAAATTTAATACCGTTTAGCGTTTGGTTCGATAAATAACCAAATTACCAAAATTTTACTAAAAATATTTTAAATTTTGATTTTGTTTTTTTAATTAATTTTAGTTTAACTACTATTATTATTATTATTATTATTATTATTATTATTATTATATATATATATATATATATATATATATATATATATATATATATATATATATATATATATAAACTGAATACCACATCAAATTTTTGTTCGGTTCAATTCGATTGGTTCACCGACCGGATGAACATCCCTAGATAAATTTGACATTGTAAGGGTGAACGTGTTAGACAAAGCATAGTTAACGATTGATTGTAATTAGACAAACAAAAGGGGTACTTTTCGTAATTATACCTTATCTCAGAGGGTTGGCCGTAATTTGCCCTATATATAATTTACAAGTTCGAATATGAATTATCATTCTCGAAGCATATAAATTAACGGGACTTTAAAATTTAAGATTTTTTTTCACGCGCATATAATTCCGAGTCTTTATTCAAAACGGGTTTTGAAATTTTTTTTTTAGGTGGAAACACGTTTATATTTTTTTCATTATTACCGGAAAACGTCCCTAAAACTTTTAAATATTTACAGAAACAGCCCGTAAAAATGAGTGAATTTTTTTCTTTTTCTTTTTTCTCTTTTTTTTTTTAAGGGAAGATAAGAAAGGTGTCCTACACGTGGGGTGCATATATATTGTGGGGAAGTATGACAGCCACGCTTCCATAGAAGCTTGTAGACTCACATTACACACACACACACACTCTTCTTATCATCTTCACCCTCTCAATATATATATACATACATACATACATACATATATATTGAAGAAAGAAAGAGTGTAAGCAGAAATAGCAGCCATAGAAATGGCCTTGGCAGCACCCACTAGTCTACATGGAGCGGCCAAGTCAATCATTGCGCCGCCGCCGGGAACCACCGGACTCCGGCAGTCCTCCGACCGATTTGCACTAAAGTCATCCTTCTTTTCTCCATCTCTTAACCTATTGATGCCATCTCAGGTGTCTACTCTTCCAGCTACTGCACCTAAATTCTCTATGCGCGTGGCTTCCAAACAGGCCTATATTTGCCGTGATTGCGGGTATATATATATATATATATATATATATATATATATATATATATATATATATAATTTTTATTTTTACTTTTTCTTTTTTTGCAATATATATAATTTATATGGGATTATTTTAGGGTTTATGAATTAATAAAATAAAAATGATTGATAATGCAGGTATATCTACAATGACAGAACCCCTTTTGACAAGAAGCCTGATAATTACTTCTGTCCTGGTACATTTTTTTATTATTATTTTCTTTCTTGATATTATATATTTCTTTAATTTCCACCTCATTTTTAAATAATTTAAAACATATAATAAAACAAAATTGTCGCTTTATGTTTCGGTCTAAGGGTGTAAAATGAGTTCGAGCCGGGTCAGCTCATTTACACCCCTATTTGGGTCTTCTAGAGATATCACGCCTTGGGAGAGAAATACGTGGATGCGTGTAAAATATGTCGAGAGATGTATAAACGTGTATGATAGTTTATAACATGATGAAATTTGAAATTCGTCGAATGAAATATAGAACAAACTTTATTAATTGTATTAATATATAGAACAGTCAAATTTGCACCGATTTCACATTTTGTCCCTACGTTTCAACAATTTGACAGCTTTGATCATTTCCGTAAATTTATCGGTAGTCCATCCGTTAATAGAGTGATGGACATAGTACTAATGGAAAGTTAACGCAAATGACCTAAAACGTTAAATTATTGTAACATGAGGGATGAAATGAGGAATCGAGATAGGGACGAAAAATGTAATTTTCTGAATATATGTGAAATTGCAGTTTGTGGTGCACCAAAGAGGAGGTTTAGGGCATATGAGCCACCAGTGAGCAAAGATGCTAATGACTTAAGTGTCAGAAAAGCCAGAAAGGAACAAATTAAGAAGGATGAAGCTATTGGGTACACCATTTTATTTTTATTTTTTATTTTTTATTTTATTTATTTAATTAATTATTTTATAGAAATTAAAGTATTATATATGTATAAATTGTTTTTGCAGGAAGGCATTGCCTTTTGCAATAGCACTTGGAGTTGCAGCATTAGTTGGTTTATACTTCTACATCAACACCACTCTCTAAGGCTTCAAATATTTACTCTACTTCTTTTTTACTTGTAATTCGAAATTCCGAATACATTTTAAATTATTATTATTTAATCGAGATTATTAATTTATCGAGGTTGTACTGTAGTTACAAACAAGGCATTCGAATGAGTCCCGTTATCTATTCTACTATTTTTCGGATCAATCGAAGCGTCATCTGTACAAATACTAAGAGAAAATACACGTATGCTATAGAACGAAAAGAATAAAAGAAGCATTGTATACTACTAAGGTATCTCAAAACGTGACACTAGGATTTACATAATACAATGAACGAAAGAAGAAATCATTCTTGGAGAACAAACGAACCCTCGATCCGTTTCTCGATGAATTGTGGAGGGAAAGTTAAAGATGAAAAGGGATCACTAAAACTCGAGCCTGGAGCGGATTTAAACTCGTACGGACCATCCTTTACGCCCCAAACCTAAGAATAAACGGGAAGAAAGAAAGTGTGTAAGTTGAAGTACATAAATTATCGACGAACAATATGTTCTATTTATTATTTGGTTAAAAAAAAAAAACCGACTTGATTTCCATTGTCATCGTAGCCTCTATCCCATGTGTGTATTTCGCTGTTCTTCAAAACAGTAAGATCGGATGTACAATACGATGCTCCGTTCTGCAATATACATTAAAAAAAATGTAAAAAGTGAAATAAAAGACGACATTAAATTTGAAGGGGCAAAAAGGTAAAATAGGCATACCCATGCATTAGAAAAACCATCTGCAGGAGTCGAGCCTTCGTATAAACAACGCTTCCCTCGATCGCATCGCTTGAGATAAATGGTGGTCAAATGCTCGGCAATGTCCTGCATTCATATCATATAGCTAATTTAATGACGAAAAGAAAAAATATAAAAGGCCATTAATCGGAAAAATACTTGATGCATGTAAACTGCTAATAAGGGCCCAATGGAACAAAGAAATCAAGAACGAAGAAAAATCAGATATAGGAAAAGTGTCCACGTTTGTGCAGAATCCGACACGAATTTCAATGTTTATTATCTTCAGCTCTGCCCTTTCGGAAACATCCTACTAAACAATAGACTTATTATAAGTGACGAGCTTCTGCGTAAGTTTTCCATGATCCACTGTTGGATAACAATATTCACCTAGGCGAAATGCTACTTGTTTTGTGAACTTTACTATATATATATATGATATTATCCTAAGGCCTCGTTTGGTTGCCAAGATAAGATTAAATAATCTAATAAAACTCAATTGTATTATCGGACCTTGAAAGATCCAATAAAAAAACATGCCTAGAAGGCAAGACAAGTCACGAGATAACATAATATTTGCGGGTCGACCCGGCAAGTTATTGGGGATACCAAACATCAAACAAAGCCCAACTATTTAGTTAATAATGACTAATCTGAATCTCCCCAACCAAACGAGGCCTAAGTTGTTTGTTTATCCATTGAGTACTAAAGTGTCAGCTTACCCCAAAAGCCAACATGTTATACATAGGCAAATAAATTCGTAAATCATTAATAATACCGAGACTCGTAATAAAGAACTTCCATCAATCTTGAAATATGATAAGAATTTCTCGTTTAAAACATAAAATGTATTCATTATCAAACCTACCCCAATAACTTCTTCAGGCTGTGGCCTTTGGTCCTTCGATCGATCACAAAAGTTCTTGTACTCCTCTGAATCTCGAATTGCGTGCGTACTTAGCTGTTCAGTTGACCACAGGTGTTAATCATCAAAGTCGGTGGTAGCAAAATACTTGCATAATCTTGATATATCAAAGATTGTCGTCTGTAACCAAACGATACACAGAGATAGTTGAAATAAGAAAAAACATGTGCTTCGAAACTGACCTCGACATCACACTTCATCTCCTTCGAACAAGGCTTTACCATGAAAAATCGCTGCATCGAGTGTAGTGATAATGTGACGATTTGATTACAGTGTCGATAATTTCCAAAATGAAAAAGGATTTTACACAGGCATTGACATTGTTTAAGGTTCAAACTCTTGAACTAGGTTAATCGTTTTACCTGTCGGAAAGGTTTGTGCGGAGTTCTCCAGAACGCCTGTCCGATAAACAAGTCCGTTAAAAAAAAAATTCGAGTGGAAAATATAATAATGGAAATGGCGAACATTATTCGAAGTTAATTGACAAAGCCTACCTGTTCAAAGTACAAAACCCTTGAACCGTCGACCATTTCGGCTGCTGGACACGAAAGCCATCTGAGAAATAACACAAAAAGGAAACGATATACGTTTAAACAAGAAGAGAAAGGGACAATTCGGAAATTTTCATTTGTATGTACAAGAATTAACAAACTACTCGTTTGATCAAATAGAACGAGAGATATGCAAAGGGTTTTTCTTGATTAAAAGGAAACATGATCAGAACTTCATATACGAAGTAACACACACACACACACAATACCGTTTGATCAAGTAGAACGAGGGATAAGCAAGGTTTTTCTTGGTTAAAAGGAAACACGATCAGAACTTCATATACACACAAACACACACACACACATACACACACACACACACCACCCGTTTGATCGAGTAGAACCAGGGATAAGCAAAGTTTTTCTTGATCAAAAGGAGACATGATCACACACACACACACACACACACACACACACAGAGTAGACTTCTTTAAATTGGAATCCTCGAAAAATTCGAGCATTGACAACAAAAAACATCAATCCCATTTCTTCATATCATGCAATCAATCATCAATTCCAATTACGAAAATTGCAAAACAACATTAGGTAAAATACCTCATATTGAAATAATTGTCCGGGTCCCTGGAAGCTTGCTCCTTGGAAAACTACCAAAATTCAATATTCAAAATAAACACATCAGTAAACAGTATATATATATATATATAGAGAGAGAGAGAGAGAGAGAGAGAGAGAGAGAGAGAGAGAGAGAGAGAGAGAGAGAGAGAGAGAGAGAGAGAGAGAGAGAGAGTCAGTTATTACCTTCTCGCCGGCGAGTGAGTCGGCGACGATGCGGGTGTGGTCCCAGCGAGTGGTCGACTTGGTAAGCCGCTTCAGCAGCAACGCGCCTCCGACTAACACCAGAGCCTTCAGCACCACACCCGGGGCTTTGCTCCACCCGTTTGAGCCTGAGTCCGAGTCCGAACCCGAACCCGAACCCGAACCGGTGCACATGATAATCGCTCTACTCAATCCGCACACTGTCCACCCGTCATTAAATCTTTCGTAGAAATTGGAAAAAGGGGTTTCGATTCTAATCTTTTTTTTTTAATTTTTCTCTTTTAATAATTGGTTTTCAGAATCGAGAGAGAGTTTGCAATCTTGCAGAGCTGTGTGGCTGGTGGCGTTGTAAATCATTGGGTTGCATTTTGTGGTCCAATCCCCAAAATAAAGTCCAATTTTCGGTTCCAATTTGCTCTCTGTAATAAATAATAGGGCAAATTACGGAAAAACCCTAATTTATGGTCAAATTACGAAAAAACTCTCTTGGATAATTATAGTCAACCGTCAACTATGTATCATCTTAAGGAAAAACCCTTCCGGAGGTAAATTTAGGGATATTAAATCGGTAAAACCAAACCGAAATTTTAGTACGCCAACATTTCATACCGTTTACTGAACTGAATATACAATTTGATTCGGTAAATAACCGAATTACATAAATTTTATGTAAAAATATTTAAAATGATGGGGGTGTGACTGTAATTACCCAAACAAGAAGTTTTTTTTTTTTCTTAATTTGGCCATACCTCGTAGGGTGGCCGTAATTTGCCATAAATAATAATAAGAGTTAATTGCAAATACCACCCCTATTTTTTCTCTTATTGACAAATGCCCCCAAATAGAGTTTTAGCAACAAGGTTTTTGTTTCAATACTCAATTATTATCAACTCCAATTGGTAGTGTAATAAAATGCGAGGTCTAGTAACTCGAATTCAATTTTTCATAAAGTCGAGTTTGTCACGTATAGTTTGTTAAGTGCAATTTATATATTTTCGCGTAAGTTGCGAGACTCTCGCACGAGACGGGAGCAGATAAAACCTACTCGTTTGTGGATGAATTTGTTTTAGTGTTTGATTATACTAATATTGGGTCGTCTTATAGCGCTCGAATCGTGAAGTCTTTACAAAAATGAAGCAAATTACCATAATCTTATTTTGGCTGTCGCCACGGTGGCAACCAAACGAGATCTAAATGTACATCTGAGTTAAAAATAGAAGAAACTTGTGCTTGAAAAGATAAAACCCGGAACGAAAAAGAAAAACTAAACGATCGAATGAATACTCGGGAGTACACCTCGGATCAAACTCCGGTGGGCCGGAAAACCAAACTCCGATTCGAGAGCATCCGTGTTAACCTCCGTTTCTTCAAAACAGTAAACCGGGGCTTGCCAATCGGGGTCGTCTAGCACTTTCCCCACCTCAAACGTCATCACGTGTGCCGTTTGCCCTGCAAACAATTCACAATTATCCACCATCAAATTAAGTTCCCCGATTTTCGATTAATTCATTATACCTCAAATTCAAATCTTTTCATCTAAACACACACACAAAAAAACACACAGATTGAAGTGAAAAATTACCAGTGTAGAAAGCCCAGTAAACAGGTCTCTTGGTGGCAACATCTTCGTAATACCAAATGAAATCTACTTTCTCCCACACATTGCAGAGGAATCCATCCTTATCAACTTGCCCCAAATAATTTGCGCCGTCGAGCCAATTAGGGCTCAGAATTCCGACCGCGAAATGCATCGTCCGGCACTCCTTGTTGGCGTCCAGTGTGTAGTAATACGATGTGCCGTTACCCCATTCCAAATCGTACAGCTTCTTCCCCAATTGGTTCTGGATTATGTTGAAGTTCCGGCGGTTGGGCCAGTCGTACCAGAGATCCGTCACTTGCAGCACACCTTTGCTACTGTTTATGAAGAGGATCGAGTGGAATTGCGCCGGCCATGGGGCCGGCGTCGGCGTCGGCGCCGGCGATGCGAGTGCAGGGAGGAGGAGGAACGCGGCGGAGAGGAGTGAGAGGGAGAGGGAAATGCTGTGTTTGGGAGAGAGAAATATCTTTTCCGCCATTTTTTTTACTCTCTGTGGGGAGAAATGTTTTTGGGTACAGTTTTTGCACTGTTTGAATGGATGAGGTTTTTCAGGGAAGAAATTTCATTTTCGTCCCTCATTATTTGCTATGACTTCAAATAAGTCCCTCATGTTTCAGTTTTATTCAGCTTCATCCTTGTATCAATTTTCCAAGAAATTAAGAAATATGGAAAATTACAGTTGTTGCCTCTCAAGTTTGCACTGATTTCATATTTGGTCCCTCGTGTTCATAAAAAATACATTTGATCCCTCATGTTTCAACAATTTGGCATTTTTGGTCATTTCTGTCAATTTACCGTTGAGTAATGGACACATTCTTGATTCCGTTAGTACCAACGAAAATCATGTTTTCAAGAAAAAAAACTATTTCCGATATATTGCATCCCTAATCAAGTTAATATCATTTGACCTCGGGTGTTCATGCAAATATTTAACAATCTTTTCATGCCAGAAATCGAAACCACAAGCCACAACAACCCAAATCTTGATAGTATACCATAAAATAAAAATAACAATTCAAGCCGTATTCGATTTTAATACATTCGCCACGAAAAAACATTTCATGGTCTACTATAGCTAATCATCAGCTATTTTTATTTTTACAAATCTGAAGGCTTTTAATACGTCCACGAACACATATTTTGTAACAGACTTTATTTCTCACCAATACATATATATATATATATAATCTGTATATAAGCCAAACGAGTATTGTTATTGAAACCTCGAGAATAAATACAGCTACTGATTGCCAGCAATAGGGCTGTCACGGCCCTTCTTGACGTCGTCCCAACCTCTCACCCACGATTGCCCAGTCGTAGCTCGTGTTTGTGGTGCAGACTTTTCGAGATTCTTCGCCACCTTTTCTCTCACAGCAACAAAAACCTTGAAAAAATATTACAACTTTTAGAAACCAAGAACATAAGCAGAAGAAAAACATCATATTCACTTTATAATTTCTCTATCTTACTGGATTCACGTTCACTGCCTCTGGGGGTTGCTCCTGCCCCGTTAGCCAATTCCATAGATCGGGATTTTCCTGCAAGTCATTCGAAAGAAATGAATAATGCAAAAAAAAAAAAAAAAGAGAGAGGGGGGTAATTACAAGAATCTTGACAAAGGCTAAAGTCTAAACAAACAACTACGTAGATATTCAAGGTCTCACACATCACACCTAAAGAATATTTTGTTTAAATCTAATATATAACGGGCTTTGATGGCAAAAATCTAATGTATAAAAATAATCTCTAGGTTGATCATAACTGTTCGTGTTCACCGAATCAATTTAGTGCTTTGAGTGCTTCGGTTTTTTTTTTTTTTTTTTTTGTTTCATGTTCACGGATAATGTTCTATCTCACAAAACGACAATTCTTCTTCGGTAAGTAGCCTCTCATTAAAAATATGATCAGATGATTCGAGTAATCTTGTTTAAAGACAAACAGTAGTTGTAAGTAAATTTTCTCTTATCCATCGATTATTTAAAAGTACATTCCAGTTCAACATTGAACATTCAGATTGGTGGACATGGTAAGGCATGAAACTCCAACTGAAAGAAATTACGACGAATTCTATTTCAATCAAATCAAACAATTGAAATATTTTTTCGGAAATGGTCGGTTTTTTGGTGTATTTTATAGCAGCAAATTAGCATGGGGCATAATTCACATCACATAGTAAGGCATAAAACTCCAACTGAAAGAAATTACGACGAATTCTATTTCAACCAAATCAAACAATTGTTTTTTTTTTTCCGGAAATGGTCGGTTTTTTTTGGGTGCGTCTTGTAGCAGCAAATTAACATCTTTTCAACCGAAAAAAAAAGTACCGAAAACTGGAAATAAAATAAAAAGGAAAAGTTTACCAGGTCAAGAACATGAACAAGGGATTTAATTCCAGATTCATCCATGGATTGAATGTGATCCTCCACCCATTTACCCAGAACCAGATCCAGCTCAAGGTAGCCTCTCTGTTTGCTCCTATACAACAACCTTTCGAAATTTCCCAAAATAAAACAAAAAATTAATCAGAAATCACCAATCAAACAAGGATGCCTAAATTCAAGCGAGGAATCAAAAATCAAGGAAAACCTGTTATGCAATCGCCTTCTACTCTCTTCAGTGGAGAGATCGATATCTACGGATTGGGTGCTTTGATTTGTAGAGTAGAGACGGGAGAAGGAACTCAAAATTGGCCTAAACAATACCCCCCAAAAAAAAAACAAAAGGGATCAATAATAATTAAAAGCAGAAACATAAAATTAGGGTTCGTGTGTAGGGGAAAATACCTGTGAAGAGATTGGGGGGTGGCGGCAGACGACGTCGGATTGGTGCTGAGAATACGAGGTACTGTAGACAACAGGGCTCTTCTCAAACTCGCCATCTCTCTCTCTCTCTCTCTCTCTCTCTCTCTAGAGCGTGTGAATTGTTCCCGGAAGGATGTGAATTGACGGCGGCGATGATGAAACGGCGTCGTCTGTTAGTACCTTCAACTTTGTAGGCGGTGCTGATTTGAAATATATTAGTCTTTAATCTGTAGTATTGATGTCATAATATTTAACGCTGACGTCATTTTATGACTACGTATGGGGGATAAAGGTATGGAACAAAATTCTTCTACGTAAGCGCCTCGTTAGCCTCAAATTGGATTTCTGGAAAACTTTATAAATGAGGTCATTTTATGACTACTACTAGGGGTGAAAGTCGGATGCATGGGCGGAACCAGGATCAAAATATAGGGGGGGTTATAACTAAAATTTCGGGGTTCGAGGCAGCGGCCCGAAAAAGATTTTAGGTTCACAAGATATAGCAAAAATAAGTTTATATTGATAATTTTTTATTCAAAATAGCATATATATTATAATTTTATCATGACAAAAAAATCTTAATGTATTGCACTTAAATATTTTGGAGATTAATGGCATCATCTCATATTATTTTTAAGAGACACCGATAAAAAAATTCCAAAATAAATAAATATTCATAGATATTATATAAAATAATACAAATTTAACCATTTTATTAAATATTTTTATATTAGATATGATGTATACAAGTATAATTAATATAAGATTGTGGAGAAGAAACAAAAAAATTAAGGGTTAAGACACATTTACAAAAACTTTAGGGGATCAAAAGTAATATTCAAAAATTAAAATGCCAAAACACCTAAAAAAAATTAATCTTGGGGGGCAACAGCCCCCCGCCCCTTAAAAGATCCGCCCTTGGTCGGATCGAAATTAGAATTTTCGAAAAAAATTCAAATTTCTTTTTGGAAGTACACAACTTATTCCAAATTCAATTCCAAAATTGTCGGAATCTAAAAATTCATTCCAATTCTTAAAGTTATGGAAATTTTGGAAACTACATGAGTTTAAACATTGTTGAAAAGTTTCAAGATTTTCATAAATTTTCAAAAATGGGAACATCGACTTTGACAAAATCATAAAACTAAAACTACTCTTATGATAAATATTTTAGCGTGGGTACATTGCATATTTTTAATAAATATTTCACCCCTGAGTTATGGTCAAATTACGAAAACCCCCTTCTGTTTGGGTAATTACAGTCACCTCCCTCAACTATGTATTATCTTACGAAAAAACTCCTTAAGAGATAAATTTAGGGATGTCAAATCGGTAAAATTGAAGCGAAATTTATGTGCGCCAACATTTCATACCGTTTACCGAATTGAATATACAATTTGGTTCGGTAAAATAATCGAATTACATAAATTTTATGTAAAAATATTTAAGGAGGGGTGGCTGTAATTACTCAAATAAGAGGGTTTTTTTTCATAATTTAGCCATATC